AATCTGATGGCTGCGCCGCCTATAGTGATACAACCAACCATAGGCAAACTCCACCTTTACCACTCTTGGTACCTTGAAACCCAATGACGTTTCGCGATGAACACCAGAATCATTGCGTTTCCTCTTCTTAGGTAGTCTAGACTGTGGCAGTTTCTGTCTGAATTCCTTTCCGTCTTCTGAGTGGAGTTCATCGCCGTTTGGTGCCCCGCCTAGACTGATCCTTTCCGTAGCGAGTTACAGCAAGTTCAGCAACCAATCTTAGACTTCTACTACAGTTACAGTCCCAAATCACCCTAAATTCTGATGGTCACCGGCGTCGTCCCCGGTCGATTGGATACCCGACAATCTCTGTGCTTCTTCATTGGTGCCTTCGTCCTGCACTCTCGTTCGCTTCGTTTCCACTATCCACACCAATGCCCCTGGTGCCAAGCTCAAGTCTCATGTTCCTCGAAGGAAACTGGTCGGACTACCCACAGATCCCAGATCCAATCATCGTCTCATAGTGGGTGGGCGGAACAGATGTACTCGTGCCCTGGGTGAACGGGCCTCCTGTCCCCTTAAGAGAGGTAGAGACTAGGTATGAGCCTGCATGGATGGCATTAGCACTTTGCAAACTAGACTAGCAGTATTATTATTTTAGCTACTCGCCCCCAACGATTGAAGATCCTGGCTTATTACCCTTAGTATCTTCTGTGGGTTCGGGGAAGTAGAACATATTATTCCAATCCATGTATATCTTACTACCTTGCCCCTCGATCTAGCTTTCTGTCACTTTTCCCCCCTCCTCCGCCTTTTGACTCGATACCTCAATTCAGCAACGGTTAATTATATCCATTGCCGTTGTTGCTCGGCTGTGAGCCCTTCGCGCGGGGTGTGCACACCCTTGGGCCTCCAAAAACAACTCGCAAAATATATACTACGACCATTGCATGAACGGGATATGAACTTGAGGCAACCGCAATCGCATTTCGCAGAAGTCACACGAACAAGACTGCCAGTATGACGAATCGTACATTATTGAACGGACGGTGTCCAGTACCGTTTCTTCAGGAAGATCTCTTCCCCTCTACCGGTGGATGTACGCTCCCCTGATGATTGCTGGCTTGCTGTTGTCGACATTCGCTGATCGTGTGGGTTTTTTGCTTGCTAGTCATCGGAGGCCGTTATTGTCAACCTGTAGGCGATATTTCGTGCTGTTTACCCTGTCCGATAGCGTCATGGACGTATGGTGATGGTAAGCTCATCCTGTTGTTTGAGTTGCAGACTAGCCGTGTCATTCTAACGCCTTTAATTTTTTTGCAGGGTTGTTCGAGAAAGCGACCTCTGCGAGTTGGATCAGTGTTGCTATACTGCCGCTCTGCATCTTCCTGCTTGTGTCGTACGCAGTTCTTCCGGTCAAATTTACGCATCGCCACTACCTCAGCATCTGCTTCACATTGGGCATCTGTTTCATGGAGGTAAGTAAAGTGGCGCATTGGAGGGTCCGAGGACGTGTTATTAACCGACATGCAGATTGCGTTCATTATCCCTCTAGGGATAAAACCGGATCAATGCCATAACCAGATCACTCCCAACGATATGCATTCCAGTCTTTCGTGCGCTTTCACAGGTGCCCTTCTTCTTTTCGGAGGCTGGATGGTGGTAGTATGGAGTATGTTGGGAACGATTCTGAGCTTGTCTGGATTGACTCGTACTAACGATCTCTAGGTTTCCTCCGTACGGTGGCCTTCCATCTTCAGGTATGCTGGGAAGTGATACTGGGTCCGAAATTCATGTGGGGAGCGTTGATCTTCGGTTGGGTCGTCCCGGCCGTCGGCCTCACGGTGATGCTACTCTTGACGGGTGTATCTTTTCGATTCGGTTCTGTTTGCCATATCAACATCGACCGTGCCCTGCAGGACTACTGGATTCCCATCATCTCGTTCTCCGTTGCCGCACTCATCCTCCAACTGGCGACAATGGGGTACTGCATCCATGTCTACATCAAGTCTCTCTTCGACTCGGATTCAACCACGAATAGCTCGGGATTGCCGTCCTACTCCGCCAGCGTCCGCACTGTGTCCGCTCGTCAAGCCTACCGTCGCATCCGAAGAGTCCTCCAACTACAATGGCGAGGCGTAGCTCTGGTCTTGATCATCATCGCGAATGTGATTTTCTTCGCTGTGACGTTCATCGAGCTCGACAGCGCCCTCAAAGCGACCCCGGAGAATATGGAAAAGGCGACTCCATGGATTGCATGTCTGGCAGCCACCAGGGGTGACCGGGCAAAATGCGACGCCGAGGCGGCAAAGGTCCGGCCCAGCGAAGGACTACTCCTCGCCGTCCTGATCCTCCTCTCCCTGGTCGGATTCTGGAACTTCATCCTCTTTGCTCGCCCCTCGATCTTCCGCGGCTGGGTCGACTTCTTCCAGAACAAGTTTGGCGTGGGCGAGGGCCGTCTTGAGTTCGTGTCGGCCGATGCGCGGGGGCGGCTGGGCGACACGCGGTCCTACGAGATGCTCAACAGCACGGGCCTCCCCTCCTACAAGTCGCCGTCGCCCATGGTCCGATCGCCCAGTCCTGCGCGCATGGCGGGGACGAAGAGTCCCGAGAATGGCCACTTCGGGCGAGACGCCAGGTACGTGCGGCCGTCCATGAGCTTCTCCAGCCCGCGGCCGCCCAGCGCATCACAAGGGCGCGACTGGGATCCCAAGACAACGTTCGCCCCCGCCGTCTATCGGGAAGATGATGACTAGACTGGTGTCATTTTTGACTTTGGTTTTAATGTAATGCTATGTCATGCTGTTGAGGAGTTAAAAAATTTCTTGTATATTGGTTTGGATGATGCAATGTATACCCTAGCAATGTTTCTGGCCCTCTGTTTCCTTTATCTTCATATCAAAAATAATGCTTTGCATATTACTTTCGAAAGCGTAGCATCTCTGATCTACAATGTATCCCTTACGCATTACACATCAAAGTGTGCAGAATTCACGATGTAAAAGCAACCCACACCCAGAATTCAGACACTGGATCCCCGCATTCCAGCATCCTCGTGGGCGAGATCCTTGTGACAGAAAAAACCTATCCATCACCTCAAAATTATGGCTATCGAGTCCAACCACACACAAGTATCCACCGTCCACACCACGAACCTTGGGACTGTAACATCAACGGTAACAGTATGAGACGATCTGACACTGAAACTCGGCACTTGCACCAGCTACCACGCACTATCGTTCCACGGTCAACCCAACCACCAATAATCTCCCTCGTAAGCTGCAACTTGCTTTAGCCGATCCTTCTAGAAGAAAACTGGTATTGGATTCGGGGAAGATAGACTTTGGCTACGGGGTAGAGGTAAGGTAAGACCATAAGCCATATTGTGCCAGACAATGCAGACTAGACTATCCATACCCAGGTTGGTGACTCGGTGTAAGGCGTAGTCTGTACGGAGTCGGGCTAGCTAGAGTTTCAGAGTGCAAACGGGTAAACTGTAAACTGTACTCCGTAACTGCAACTAGAATAAGGCAGGATAAACTAAAGTTTGAGTTTGAATTTGCCATATCGTGATGTCAACGTGAATCAAATTCTATTTTGCATTACTCGACGCTCGCTGTAGATACGTGATGCAGTATCTGTCCCCACTGTACCTATATCCAGGTAAGGTAGCTGATGCAACGTACCACACCCAAACAGGGAACACACCGTTCCTGCATTATGGACAGGGATGTTGTATAGTCGAACGCGACTATTAATCAATAATCAGTAGACTAATGTACGAGAATCTCGTCCATACGCGGTAGCATCAGCATGGCACTATCACGCATACCTTGTCATAAAGTAGAGACTAGAGACTCGAAGAGCAGTATCCCGTATTGTTGTGGAGTAGATATGCTGGACAGACAATATCGATTATCGAATCGAGATCAGACAGGGGCTTGTCGCGGAGTCCTCCGTCCGAAGTCCCAAGAGATAAAACGCAGTGAGAGACGGTAACTACACGCACTGCTCAGTAAAAATCCCTCATTCCGGGGATATGCAGACTACTTTGCCTTCTGATAAACCTAGGCATCAGCCTCAGCATCAGCATCATCACTACGAGAATCATGAGTACAAAGTACCTTACAGCCGACTAGACAGGACTCTTGTGGTGACAATAGATTGCCGAGTCGGGCCATGTGAAAATCCTCCAACAAGTGTAATCCTACCACCCTTGGCTGAGCTGACAACCTACCTAAGTGCGTCAGACTCAACACCATAAGCTCGATAGACCTTGACCGCTAGGTATCAAACTTCTGATCTACAAGTAGATAGTTTACTAGTGCGTCGAGCATCGACCCCGCAAACACGGATAAACGGATGCGGGAAATGGAACCGGAATCGTTTGGAGTATCAATTCATCGGTGTGGGTATGGATATGGATCTCCCTTTCACTACCCCATGGGGTAAACGACTCAAGTTTGGGTCTCATGTGCGATAGTGCCAGATGGACTAGTTTGAGTTTGGATGTGCCGCAGTGCGTGGTGCACTGGATGTGTTCGTGGGTCGACACCCGTAGTTCTAGACTAAACTGTACGGCGTACCGGCCTCGGCAGCGGAGCAGGTGTCAGAGTGATCTTAACTAGGCTTGGGTGGTTTTCATGTGATTGTGGATTTGGGATCAGGGCTTGAAAGTAAAGAACCTCTGTTGTTCGTATTCATGCATAGTAGCAGTGTTGGATAGGTCTCGTCTAAAGTCGGGAGTTCATGGAGTACGCAATCCTTCCATGTGCACATCACTACAACATAGATGATCATCAGACTTTCAACCAGCCTAGCTATTTCTTGCTATGATACACGATCAAACTAGTTGCATCGTCCGATGCACGCACAATTGATTTGATCCTTCGAGGGGTACTTGCAAACGCCGGTCAAGCGAGGTTCAAATGGAAAGGGAATAGATTTTGAAGTTGCAAATTATTTCCGTGAGCATCAGGAATAATACCACGATCGATGAGTCCCAGCCTTCCGGGTATCGACTACCAGGCATTCACTTCGAAATTCTCCTGCAAGATACCGTCAGAATAAAACAAGAAGAAGTGGCAAAAGCGGGAAAAAAAAAAAAAAACTCACCTCGGAAAAGTAGGTCGTCACCACTGTCCGATCAGAGAACTTTCTGCCCGCAAGCGCTTTCAAGGCATTGGTGGCCGATTCTACCGTGTCAAACTTGACATAGATCTTGCCCACTCCAGGAGACTGCCTGCTGCCGCCAGAAGGGCGTGGCACCTTCAAGTCCTCGACCTTGCCATACTTGGAGCACTCCTCGCGTACATCATCGCAAATTTCTGTACCGGAGTTAGTAAAATTTGCAAAATTGCCCCGTCCACGAAAAAACTCACCTTCGTAATCATCATTGTCCAAAAGCTCCTCCGGCGTCACCATGTTCAACAACTGCAAGACACGGCTGCTCTCCAAATCCTGCGATGTAGTCTTGGCGAACATCGACATCGCGTTGACTCCCATGTCAAGTCCAGCGGCCTGCGTCATTCCGATACTGGCACGCACAACCTTGAGATGCCGGTCGCCCAATTCCATACCGTTGAGACCCTCCACAGCGATAGCAGTCGCTGAGGGGTCAGCGTACTCGCAGAAAGCGATACCCTTGACAAGTCAGTGAAAACCTTAGCACGCTTGGATAGACACCACTTACCCTCGACTCTTCCGTCGAGCTATCTTTCACAAGCACAAACGATTTGAGCTCGCCAAACGACTTGAGCAGCATGGTCACGGGCTCCTCTGGAATATATTGCGGGATATTGGACACACAAATCTTGTTGGGCGAGTCGGGAACCTCGTTCAGCAACACACCCTCCTGGTATTCTTGATCCGCACTGCCGTTCGGGACAATGTAGTCCTTGGGCCGGCGCACTTCGAGCCCCTTGGGGGCACCGTTCTCAGCTCCACTGACGGATTCGTGCTCCTCCAACGTGATGCCATCAAAGGCAAGAGCAACGGTGGTGTCGTTGGGTGTCTTGAACTCTAGAAGTGCAAAACTATGGTCTTCAGATATTTGGGCCGAGATACAAGGGTCCACACTGTGAATGACATTGAGGCCGTTGAGTTGCAGGTTGAAGAAGGACACGAGATGCTCGCTGGACACGCCGGGAGGCAGGTTGTATACGAACAGACGCCTGGCCTGACGCGAGTTGGAGGGCTTGAGAGCTGAATTGTCCGCAGATCCACCACCTGGCTGGTTCATAAACGCTTGAAGGCGGCTGGGGTCCATTGGCTGCTGGCGAGGTGCTCCGGGAAGGGGGAACATGCCTAGAAATGTTAGCAACGACATAGATACAGATAGACACACAACGCGCAGTCGCAACTTACCCGACAGCTTGGCTTGCTCAGCAGTAACATTCTCGTAACCAGGAGGCTTAATGTCCCACTGCGTCAAACGACGCTTCCTGGTCAGAACAGATGGCACATCTGTCAGATCGGGTGTGGGCTCCCTCTTGCGCGGAGGAGTTGCGCTTCTTTTCCGTTCTTTCCTCTCCCGGTCGCGCTCGCGCTCGCGGTCTCCTCCTCGTTCTCTCCGGGGTTTCTCGTCGAACAAGTCTCTATCCCGGTCACGTCGAGGTGGTCTGTCATCGAAATCTCTGCGTCTGCGGTCGCCGCGGTCGCCGCGATCGCCGCGGTCCCGGTCCCATTCGCGGTCGTCTCTCCGGCTGGAGTAGCGGTCCTCTCGTTCTCTCGCGCGGTAGTCGCGACTCGACGAGTATGAGTCTGCCTCGTATTCACGACGTGAACCCCTGGAGCCGTAATGGGGTGATCTCGATCGTCTCCGCTCTCCTCTGTCACCTCTTTCACCGCGTTCACTTCCACGTTCGCCTCCGCGTTCGCGTCTTTCGTCGCGCTGTCGAGGGGTCATTAGCAATTGTTTAGAAGAACTCATCCTAGCGGCTGTAGCGACTTACGAAGTGCTCCCTGGAGCGGCCAGGTTCTCCTGTTCCCATGGTCAGTTACTGCCAAATTGTGGGCAATAGAAAGATCTCTCACCTCTCGAAGAAGAGTAAGTATCGCCGTTCATGATGGACGAGCTATCTAATCCTTTCCTGCTCCTTTTACTCAACGTGGCGAGAGGAAAGTCAACAAGAATATAAGGGTCGACCCTTCAAAGCGACAAATAATATCACAGCGCAATCCTGATATAAGAAAAATGATCAAAGGGGCCTTGAACAAAGGAAGGAGTTGCGCTGAGCGTCTGGCTGGAAAACTCGCAGGTCGTGAAATCGGCGGCGAAGAGCAGCCGCGGCGTCTAGAATTGAAGCGGTTAGCGCGACACGCAGTACATGAACTACCGCCTGCCTCTTAGGAGGGAGACGCGGCAGAATTTCGAGATGCTTTATCTCCTATCAGTGCCTTTAGAGCTGCAAGTTGTTACTATTTCTATATGACGTTCCCTTTTTTGACATCATGACAGTTGGAGCCTTCTCAGAATGGCGCAAGTTGCCCATGAGTTTGAGCGAATTATGTATTAACACAACCTTGCGCTGCGGTCAGTCCTTTCGGTAGGCTATATCACTTGATCATCGAATGGAAACGATATTCCTGACTATTTGGAGCTTCTAGATGGCACAATGTTCCAGAAAGTGACGAATGGCGATGTGTCCTCCATGGCCGACTTCTATCTCTAAAACAAGACCCGCAATATCTTTATTATAGAACATATCGCTCTCTTATCTCTCAATCAACAACGAGTCCCCGAATAAACCCCTCCTCTTTTCCACTGCGCGTGGAGTCGATTGGCGCTGTGAATGGCTCGAATGGAAAAGCAACGCAGAACGAATCATCAGATGACTCCCACGACGACGAAACTCTAGAGCTTCTGAAGCATTACCTCAATCTCTCCTCAAATCTTACGGACCTCTATACCCAGTGGTCCTCGCAAGACCCGAACTTCAAGAAAAAGGCACCCCAGTTCACAGGAATCAGGATCCTGCGCCAGGATGCTTGGGAAGCGCTCGTATCTTTTATATGCAGCAGTAACAACAATATCGCGCGCATATCGCAAATGGTCGAGAAGTTATGCGTCAACTATGGCCCCCTGGTTGCCACCGTGGGCGACCGCGCATACCATGACTTCCCTTCTCCCGAGGCTTTGACCGCTGACGACGTTGAGGGTCGCCTGCGAAGTTTAGGGTTCGGCTACCGGGCCAAATATATCCACCAGACAGCTTTGATTGTAGCGAAAGAGAGAGAGCAAGGCTGGCTTGACTCGTTACGAAATCCAGAGTCTCCTGTTCTCGGAGTCGAGCCTGTGCCCGGAGATGAAATGAGACCGGAGGGTAGACAGGGGTATTGTCACGCGCATGAACAGCTACTGGGGCTACAGGGAGTTGGGCCAAAGGTTGCGGATTGTGTCTGTCTGATGGGGTTGGGGTGGGGAGAGGCGGTGCCGGTAGATACGCATGGTGAGTGACTCTTAGCAGGTCTTCTGCCGATTACTGGTGCTGACAAAATCTCTAGTCTGGCAGATTGCGCAAAGAGACTACAAATTCGGCAGAGGTGCTCACAAGTCGCTAACGAAAGCCACTTATGACGCCGTCGGCAACCACTTTCGGAAACTCTGGGGCAAGGAGGCTGGTTGGGCTCATAGTGTCCTGTTCACAGCGGACTTGAGGACATTCTCGAACAGATTAGCTGCTACGTCTGGCAAGATAGATGTCAAGGTTGCTGTAAAGGAAGAGGGCGACGATAAAGGGTCTGTCAAGCTCGAGACAGAAGTTACGACCTCCACGGCCTATGCCTTGAAGAGACCTGCGAGTGAGGAATTGGAATCAAAGGATGTGAAAGAGGAGAGTAAAGAAAATGTGAAGGCCGTCATTCAAGCCTCGCAGACCACAACGACAAGAAGAATGTCAAAGCGGCTTCGGAACAGCTGACATAGATTAAGCAGGATCATAGGCAATATACACCTGTAGACAGATATTCATAAATATATACTTCCTATTCAAACTTTACCCCGTAATCCAACGCCTCAGCCCATTCCGGTGGTCGCAAATCTATTATCGGGCTCGAATGTGCAACGCTTTCCATCCGCAGCGTACCTATCTTCCAGCAGGGCTAAAAATCATTTCTGCAAGAGACACAAAGACAACTACGACACGTCAGAGACGCAAGACGCTCACACTAGTCGTAATAGATCAAGTAATCTACTCATCCGCAACACTTGCCAATCGCCATAAGTACTCGTTCAGCACCAACGCGGAACATCAAAACAGGAAACCCGAGAGCCGAGATAACCATCAATAACGTCGATCCACAAGGCATCTGGGTATCTACAGCACCGTGCACGAGTCGCAGATGCTGAAGAACGGCGTCGGCCACCGCGATAAGCATTGAACAAAGGTGGAGAATTGACATAACACTATCGTAACCGTGCTACCGTTCCCTGCCACTGCGATCGGCAAACCTGCTCTTGGGAGACTGCGGTCCCTCAGTGACGATCGTGATGCCCTAACCTCCACTCGGCATCTGCTTATCTAGGGAATGAGTTGACGGGATTTTCGGGCCTTCGTGGGTCGGATCTGTTGATCATTATGGAGCAGTCTACTGATTATCACGTACGGTGCACGCCAAAATGGTCAGTATGACGTTGATGGGTTTATGTGTGACATATATGAGAAGATAGAAGTGACGTCGGCCATCCTCCTTATACTAACTCCTCTAGCTTGTTCCAGAAGTGTGCAGTGCTAGTATGCAGTAGTTCTGCAGCATTTTGTTGGATTGACGCCAGAAGACTTTCAGCAAACAAGACATGCAAACCTGATGTGGGGATAACTACACCGAACGACAGGCAACTCAGCCGAGTTGATAAGCATTAAGACAAACTCAGACCCCAGGTCTATCTTTATTTTGAAGTCATCACTGAAATTGTTGTGCGGTGCTTGAATGAAAAAGAGAAAACTTTCAGATCATGATTTCATTATTAAATCACCGTATATCGCTATCATATGCGCCAACGCTAATGCTTACAGATCGCTGATGAGCCTGACCAGGCGTCTAACAGGGAAAAAGGACAATATCTAACAGAGCGAGGCAAAACTGAAACTGATCCGCTGCAAGCTGGCCATTGGAGCCACAAAACCCCATAAGCGGGGGTGAAGAATCGCAGAAATCCGCAGGATATCACTAGAGCCGTTATAACCTTTGACTCTGTCACTTGCGTCGATGTGCAGGATGCTGTGGTTCTTGGGCGGCACGGACACATACAGCAAAAGGTGGTCGAGGCCAGGCATATTGGACTGGAACTTGCTCGTGGCGGTGCTGCTGCAGCGCCTTTCTGCGACCAGTGGGAGAGCCGGGATGACAAGCGTAGCACTTTAGAGTGCTAATCCAGGAAGATACCGAAGCTGAAATGAAATCTTCCGACCCACGGGAGGGGGATGTGAATGGAATACCGGAATGGGCTGAAATACGACCGTTTATGAGACCCCAGTCGAATCGGATGCTTCATCCCAACCCCACTCCCTGAGCAACTGTTTCACGCGATACTCGGTTGCCCAACCGAGATCAGCTTCGATACCCCGAAGCAAGCGCAAAACTACCCGTCGTTCACGAGGTTCAGTGAGACACTGACCACTCACAAACAAAGGCTGGAGAGAGTTAATACGAACGGAGCCATGCGGACGAGCCAATGAAATGCCGACAATCTCGCGACTATGGAAGCGAATCTCATTCTCAATAGATCGGTACGAGTTCAGTCGGTTTGTTATGGCACTTCTCCTATTGATTGAATCATGAGGCTTGTTGATAAGTAGTAGAATGCGAGCCATGTGATAATGCTGTATAGCCGACGAGCACATCGGGATGCTGAACCATATTTCAGAAAACGAGGCTGCATCCTCATCCTCGGCCGTTCTTCGGTGAGGAACGTTGGTTAAGTCGATACGCGCGCACGGCCGAAAGCTAGCCGGAAGCCTCTTGTACCATGTGTCAAGCTCGGCTTCGAGGCGATGCCAACGCTCAAGGAGAGCTTGTTGAGAAAGGCTCATTTGGCCTGCAGTAACAGCACCAGTGTGCGTCAAATGAGGGCTATCTCCGGCACCAATGAAATTGACAATCTTGGAAGCTATCCACACGAGAGCATTCGAAATAAGATCCTCCTTCATTTCGTCGCCCTCGTCGGGATAGCCGGCCGCGTTCAAATTAATAGTACGCACAAATCCCATGCTATCGAGCTGAAGACCAGCTTCAGTCCACAATACCACGTCGTCGGTATTCAGCCTGGTTTGCGTCTCGTTGATGACTGGATGAAATACTCATTAATCTCCTGAACTTGGCGAGGGGACTGGCACATCCGAGCGCACTTACATGCAGCCAGGTAGTCTTGCCTGGCAAAGTTCCAGAATGTTGCCCTCCTGGCTCTCGAAAGCCCGAACTTCCTAGGCGGCTGAAGCGATCCATCCCCTGGAGAAGGATGCTGCTCAAGTGGCAACATACCAACTTCAGCGACATCCAGCAAGGATTTCACACCGCTCAGGTGCCGATTCCACGCGGTACCAGTCGCATCAAGGAATTCATAGATGGATAGTATCGCCGTTGCGGCAAGAACTTCGTCGGAATGGACACCGCCAGATGATCGATTATGCCTTCTACGTTTTCGAGAATTGTCGCGGTTCTGGCACAGTTCGGCGGCCTGCCATTGACCAAATGCCTCCGGAGTGCTCAAAGGTGGCGGACCTTCGTCAGGTTGCAGCTCATTCACCAGGAGTTGGATGGCTTTTTCATAGTACTTGGCGCCACACCAGGTCCAATCTATACCTCTCCCGTCAGGCCACGTCTCCGTGAAAGCCTGCTTTCCGCTGACGCCACCAAATGGAGATTTTGCGCCCTTCACGCGACCAAGCTGTTTCGCAGCATATGCACACGCGGCATACTTAAGAAGAGGATTCGTGAGAGCCTTGACCGGAACGAGTGATGCAAAGTAGGTGCCTAAGTCGAAGAGATCCATCCTATATAGTTCTCGTTAGAAGACCTACTATCCTAGTGAGGGTGGAGACAAAAAGACATACCACAGCCCCGGAGCTTCTGAGAAGTGTCTCAGGAGAAAGACGGCTTCATACTCGGTCTCCACTGGGTGCTCGGACTTCTGTTCGACATTCCCGACATTTCGTGGCAACACTGATCTGGAAGGAATTGAAGATATCATCGGCTCCGAGGTATGCTGGGCACTAGGATCAATGGGCGGTGATAGAGTTTGGGAAGGGTTCAAAATAAATTTGATGTCATTGTTCGTGTTGTTGCTGTTGGGATTGGAGAAAGAAGAGATTGATATCGGAGGCGATGGTTGAGGGGCCAATGCAGTATGCGGTACATTGATTGAAGGTCCAGATGGTATTGGAGGCGCTGTAAGGTCTAGCATATCGGAATGCGTATTGTGATCCGGCGCCAGAGAATGAGATCCGTTGTCGGTAGCGAGGGGAGAAAAAGAGTACCGATTAGTAGATCCCGCTGTGGACGATTGTTCCGAGCCTCGAACCTCCCCGTCGGCGGAGGAAGGCGTCTGTAAACCTTTTTGGTGAGCCTTGGAGGCTAGAACAGCGGCTTCAGATTCCCCCAGAACAGTCTCCAGCTCCTCCGCACACGGGTCGGAATTGTCGACAAAGACCACTAGAGCAATATCGCTGTATCAGCTCCTCGAATCAAGAGATGCAAGACGCTCGAGCAGAAGAAGAGGGCAATAGGAATCATTCGTCTGTACCATCTTTAGGTATATCCAGCCAGACACTGTCTTCATCGAAAGTATTCTTGTAGGAATAAAACCCTTTAAGACTACCGCGGCCATTCGACGAGTCCTCGAGACTCTTGTTCATCGAAGCATTCTGCTGATGCCGAAAAATAACACCCTCACTAGGGCGACACTCCCTGGATCCCTTGCGACATTGGGAACACTGCGGTTTTTGCTCATCACCTGATTCACGGGTTTTAGTCACTTTCCGACACGGTGAGAGGTACTGCGACGAGAGCGAAGGGTGGAAGTTTACATTTCAGTTTTCGAGTTCGACACGTCAAACTGTGATGAACAGCAAACGTCAGTCTCTCAGTCTCTTTCTTTTGATCTTCGCACAGTCGATCTGGAGTCGAAGATGGTCTGCATGCCAAGATTCGTGAAGTAATGTAGGAGCGCAAGATATAAATGAGCACGCGCTAAGTCCTCCTTCGCATGGTACATACCAGCCTGTGCGAGATCGCATACCGGATGGTAACGATAGCGATTGAGTTGCAGCATCCGAGAAACGAAGCGAGTATGCGATGTAAAGTGTGGATGATGGTGTAAGCTAGACCGTGGAGAAGAATGCAAGTGGGAAAATTAACTGTCAGGACCGGGATGGCGTTGCGTTTATCAATCGCAATGATTATGATTAAAGGATAATACTTATATTATAATAGGACCGTCTCTTTGAAGACAGCCGAATGATTATGGTGACAGCGCGAAGGAGATGGATTCTGTTAGGTCACGGGGAAAGAAAAAGAACGGGAGAGAGAGAAAGCGGGGGTCCAAATTGTGGCCGGGGATCGCACAGGGCACCAAGTTCCCCCCAACTGACCCCAATTCCCCCATGACAGCGCTAAATGCCGACCGACCGGAGAGTGAGAGTGTTCGGAGTGTCACCTGAATTCGGAGCACTTCGCGGGATCTTTTTTCCGCTTGAGGCCTAGGCAAAGGAAGGGGAGTGGTGACCGCCGAGTGGGTCGCGCGATCTGATTGACTAGTATGGCTTCCATATAAATAAAAATAGGTCATAAGCTGCCGCTCAGAATGGCTTCAGGGCAGGATCAACATAATTCTTGGACTGACAGCAAGTGGGTGGCACATGAGAACTTGAAAGAGAGTTCCTATTGTGTTACGAAGGCATTCATTCAATCAAGACGCAATTAA